CCCTCAGCGAACTTCTTGTACAAGAACTGACAGGTCTTGTACAGCGGTTTGACGGTTGCACCCGTCTTGCTTTCCAGCAAGGCCCTCGCACGCTGGCTGTTGCTCTCCCTGAAAGCATCCAGCTCAGCCTTGCCTTTCTTCTTCCCCTCAGCCTTCTGCTTGCGAGATTCCTCCTTCTCAAGCTGCTGCACATGGGATTTGCAATCTCTCGAAACTTGAGCAAGGCCTTTCTCGAAAGTCTTGAGGGCCGTCTTGTGCTGCTGAAACTTTTCCTTGATTTCATCGAGCTCAAGAACCGTGCCGGCATTCTTGAGGGCCTCAATGTTCGCCTTGGCCTGATCGAAAGACACGAGATCCTTCTGCATCGCCTCCGGCACTGGAAGTTTGTCTGTGTGGCCAGCGAGGAGTTCAGCAATCGATGTCTGACCCGGGAGGCTGCTGACCATCTGCTGCGTCGCCGAGTCCTCGAGGTCTGTCGGGTAATTGACAAGTGCGGCGAAGCAGCAGAGACGATGGTCTAGATGCTGCACAAGAGTCGCCAGTGCATCGTCCTCATGCAAAGCAGAACGAAGCTTGAAATGTGTTTCAGTTATTGGGGTATATGGTTACGGTTAGTTAACAGCATGGATGTGTATGTAGACCGACTGTCCTTCGTTTCCGGAAGCTTGCCCTGCTGCTCGATGGCCTGCTTTGCGCACTCACAGAGGGACGTTTTCAAGGTGTTCATCTCCTTCGTGAGCCTGGTCTCCTGCTTCGGCTTCTCCAAAGCCAGGTCCACGGACTTCTTCGGAGTCGTCTCTGCCTTCTCCTCAGCCGCAACCACGATCGTCGTTGCAGGCAATGGGCGCGACGGGCTGCTCGTCGCAGCCACGGAAGTCGCAAGGGGCCCGGGCTCTTTCGAGCCTTTGCTGTTCCCACGCACAAAGTCAACATCCAAAGACTTGCTGCCTGCGTAATCCAGCAGCTGATTGAAGGACTCATCGTCGAGGTTCTTCATCTGTTTGCTTCCCTGGGAGACGCCAATCTCCCCGAAGCGGCCCTTCTTCCGCTCGTGACGTTCCTGGGCGCAAGGAATCCAGATGCGCTCAGCACCCAGCTTGCCTTCGGAATCACGACCACCGAAATCTCGCCTGGCATTGCTGTCCTTCAACTCAGTCCACCAATGTCGAGCGCCTGTGGCCGTCAACCGCTTGATCTGTTGAGCCCAGTTGAGGAACTCTGCTTCGGTCATCGGTGCATCTCCCTCGTGATCTCCATCGTAGTCTCGTCGGCCATGCCTCTCGCAAAATTGAGACCATTCGATGAGTCGCTTCCGCGACCAGCGCTCATTGATCGGGTTCTTTTCACAATATTCTCGCATGCAGATCTTACAGCGCTCGTCATCAGCCATGATCTCCTTCGCGATTTCCAGCTTGCCATCCTTTCTCGCCTGTGCCATGATCGCTGCATAGGCACGTTTGTGCCCGGCACACCACTTCTGGTTTCTCAGCCTTTCCAGCTCACAATCAATCGCGAAGCATTCCAAGTCTCTCTGAGTCAGCAGTCTCCCCGACGGCTTCGGAGTTTCCTCGGCCTTGGCTTTCGGGAGGACCCCGCCGCGAAGCTCGTCGGTCGGTCTTGGAGACTTGGCTGGCGAGTCCATCGAGAGGCTGGAAAGCTGAGTGCCACAGGACAGGCTGGCAGAACAGCCGAGCTGCCCTGCTGAAACGAGAAAAAGCTATATGGATGCATCAAGAGCATTTAGTGCCTGACAACCATATTCTCAGTGACCAGGACAACACACACACACACAGACACGGCCACTGGCTGATCAGTTAAACCCTCTGCATTCTCATTCAGCTGGGAGCTGTCTCAATCTCTCACAGTGTACGTTGTACGTATACATGATTTCACAAGTGGCCTTGTCTCACTGTTGCACATACATGATTTCACAAGTGGCTTTATTCTCACTGTTGCACATACATGATTTCATAACTGGCTTTGCTTTCACTGGACAGACTCACAAGACTTAAGACTTCAGACGCCTACCGAAACACAAGCAACGGGTCGGTCCTGTGGGTCCAGTCGCAGAACGACCACATGGTGAGTGTCCAGCAATGCATCTTGGATCTTCTGACGGGCTGGAAATTCCACGACATTCTCAAAGAGGAACATATCCTCAGAATCCTCCAAAGCCCACTGCCGACGTTCAGCGAGCCACACCTGGAAGGCACGTTCTGAGACATGCCCACTTGCTTGACGCAGGCCTACCCTCGACCAGGCGACGCATGGAAGGCCACCTGCTGACATCACAATTGACTCTGTGCGTTCCTGGTCCGAAGCTCCTGTCTCGATCAAAGTGTTGGGCCTTGTGCCGTCCCGCACTGGCCGAACGAAACACTGCTGATCATGCACGAGGCAATGAGACCGTGCATCACGTGGGAAAGCCTCGGCCGGCCTCTCCTCTAGTTCCGTGGCCAATGCTTCAAAATCAGCCGCGCTCAGCCCGCCCGACTGCTTAGCTTTGGCCTTTGGGACTGGAGAAAGCAAGACTCCAGGCAGAAACTCCGCTGGCACACGAGCCTCTATCGAAGTGAATACACAGGGAGAGTGTCCAGTTTGCAGCCCCTGCAACTCTGCTAGCATGCAAAGAAAGCTCTGCTGCTCTTTGCCCGAATCGCAGAAGGAAGTCTTAGTAACCCAGGAATCCAAGCCTCCTGGGTCTGCTTTCTTGCACGATGCCTGAATCAATCGCAGGGCCTCACCAGCAGCATCAATGCCGCTGCAAACACTCATGATTTTCAACCCAGAAAACCGCACGGCTTCCAGGTGAGCCCGTCTCTCATAGTCCGCCATGCATTTCTTAATCAAGTGATCCGGATATCCCAAGACTTGCTCGGCGGAACTCTGAACCCTGTCCATGGCGGATCAAGCACGGGTGCTTGCAAGGACACTGTGTTCCCTGCTCGGCTTCTGTTGCATTCGTGCCGCCCTGTACAGACTGAATATTTGCAAACTATATCTAGCAATCTGCAGTTTTCGACAAACACCATGCCATGCGGTCTCTTCTGCTGTTCCTAACAACAAGCACACCAAAAGAGCAGCTTGCTTGCCTCCGAAAACATGCACATCTGAAGCTTCTGATTGAGAAAGAGAGACAGAGAGAGAGCCAGAGAGAGAGAGAGAGAGAGAGAGAGAGAGAGAGACAGAGAGACAGAGAAGGTGTGCCTCTGAGTCATCTGAGTCTCTGTGTCTGCGCGTTTGCATGTATGTGCATCTGTGCCGGTCTGCCTGCCTGCCTGCCTGCCCGCCCGCCCGCGTGATGCCTGCCTGCCTCCCTACATGTGTGAGGCAACCCCCCCTTCTCGGGCCGAGATGGGGGGGTTGCTTGTCGCTGTTTTCTGTAGGCTTGCAGAAATACTTGTTCTTGGCCCTGAGGCAACCCCCCCTTCTCGGGCCGAGATGGGGGGGTTGCTTTTCCCTGTTTTCTGTAGGCTTGCAGACATTCCCTCCTGTGGCCCCGTGGCCCCCCTAAGAAAAAGTTCTCACAGCAGCAAGCAAAAGCAACACGAGTGACATGTTCCAAGAATGTTGGTGCTGAGTCCAGTTCGCCGCTTAGGCGGCCACGCCGAGCGAACCGGGATGAATGCCGTGTCTCAACACCCCGCACAACGAGGCCATTCGACTCACGTTTTGGAGCTGCCTTCTTTGGGGATGGGTGTTTCTAGCTTGGTCCATATATGACTACGAACACAAAGAGGCAACCTCGATCGATAAAGCTACTACGCTACAAACACTCATTCCCGAAAGCGGCTCCAATAAGTGAGTGGTATAGTACTCCAACACCCTACTCTAGTTCTTCAGGCCCCGATATGTTATAGCACCCTTATTGCCGAAGTGTGAAACCCAGAACGATTTTAGGATGCGCGCGCATATCCTAAGAATCCGCCGGGTAGTGAGCACACAAACAAAGAGGCACCTCGATCGATAAAGCTACCACGCTACAAACACTCACACCAGAAACCCCTCAACCCTTCCATCCTGGCCTGGCCCGGCCTCGATTGCTCACCTCAACAAATTCCTTTCCTATGCTTGACAAACAGAAAGCCGGCGACAGACTTAGCCGACCAACTTTTCCAAAAGTGCGCTCCTGCTCGAAAGTGCTCCTGTTTAGGTCGAAGACACTGAAATGAAGCCAAACATATAGTTCAACAGCGCATTTGGCTGAGTGCAGGCACGTTGCGCTCTGAAACATCATCCTGTGGACTCAAACTGACCCAAAGGAGTGACAACCAGGTCTTCGGCATAAGCTAAACCCGGGGTGGGAGAGGAACCGGAGGAGAACCGGAGGAGAACCGGAGGAACCGGAGGAGAACCGGAGGAGAACCGGAGGAGAACCGGAGGAACCGGAGGAGAACCGGAGGAGAACCGGAGGAGAACCGGAGGAGAAACCCAGACACTGGACAGACCATGGAGGGGCACGACTGTGTCATTGGGAGGTGAAAACAGGCTGTAGCACAGCAAAAGCACTCTCTAGAACTTGGAAATGCGCCAGAACATGCAAAACAGCTCCAGAGCGCACTTTCGCGCAATATGGTTCGAGTTCTTAGCCCAACCCATGCACCGGCACAACCCCCAGAGCCCCTGCATTTGTCCAACCGACATGCCACTGACCTCCTGGCCTCACCGTCTCACTCGAGCTGTCATTTATCAGAAGCACACGCCTTTTTACAGTGCTAGCACGACACACAGACACAGAGAAGGAAAACTCGATCGGACATAGACAAAGAAGACGACGCAGACATTGCCAATGCCGCACTGCAACTCCTTGACGGCATGTTCTGCACGTACTGACATGTACATTGCAATGTTCACATCTTGACATGTCACTGTCTCACGACACAACTGATTAGCGATACTGCTGCTTCAATGACACAACTTTTGCTTTGCTTCGGGGCTTCGGGGCGGTGGTGTGTCACCGACATGTGAAACTGCGTGCGCGCATACACTGCAATGTGCAATCAATACCCGAATGCGGTTGCATCCAAATCGTCGTCTTCAGGCTCGTCGCCGTCCCATGTGTATGGGCAAACACGCACGTGTTCGTCTTTGCTTCCGTACAAAGATGCCTGGAGGAGCCACCACTTGAGCTTCTTCAAAGTCATATCGCGGCCTCCATGCCGATCAAACTTCAACGTACGTCTGCATTTTTCACCCTCGTGCTCAGGGTGCCTGCAGGAGGCCTCCAGACCGTGGGCCGGCTGGCCTACGCCGGAACGCTTTTCTGTGATTCTGCAACCTCGCCAATAGAATGTGCTGGGAAGCAGAACCCCAACACCGGCTCGAGGAGGTTGCTTCGCTCTTGCTTTGGGCTTTGCTTTGGCCAAGGCCGCCCCCGCTGCAGGCCGCACCTCCTGGTTAGAAGAAGGTGAAGATGATGACGATGAAGAAGAACTGCTGTTGCTTTCCTCTGTGCTCGAACTAGACGACGAGTCACTGCTTCCGCTGCTGGAACTGCTGCCAGGATTGTCAGGCTCACTAGCAGCATCAGCATCACTCAAGACATCGCCGCCATCACTGTCAATCTCAGCAAGAAGCGCTTGCACTTGCTCATCCACGCTCAAAGCATGAAACTCAGCATCATACGCATCACCATCATCATCACCGTCGTGCGGCATGACTTCGACTTGACCATCAACGTCACCGTCGACTGGATGCCCTGCTGCAACAGCTGCCTGATCGCCCAGCGCGGCTCTGCGGCGCCTGGGACGCTTGGGCCTGGGAGCCACCTCAGCATCTAACCAATCGTCTCCATCTCGCAATGGCCTGAAATTTCGAGTCTTTCGAGTGGCCGCTTCCTGCCGCAATGCAAGCGGCAGTGCCTCCAAGCCACTGAGAATCCTGCTATACTGAGCATTGGTCCTCCCATGCGGCACTGCCAGTCCGTGTTGGTCTGCAAGAGTCAAAGCCAAAAGGTAGTGTCGGCTACAGACAACATTTTGCTTTTTTTCTGATTGCTGTAGATAAAGGATCTTCTCGCCTTCTCCGTGCAGATAACTTGGGGCTTCGCGGCAGACACGGCCACTAGCCAAGCGCAAAACCCAACCCGAATCTAACAAGCCTTGCAAAAGTTGCCAACGGCTGCGGTCCTGCACTGGGCCATCGCCGACACTGAGGAGTGGTTTCGGCTGAGAGACTCGGGTAGCCACAACAAGAAGTTCCTGACCACGATCAGTAAAATGAATTGGCATGTCTGCTGTTAACAAACCGCCTTGTTGCAGAGATTCCAAGAGCTCCTTTTCGTTGGAAGAAAACCTGGAAACGTCGGGCAGCCCAGCTCTGCCACGGGCACATATCTGCTTCAAGACACCGTGCAGCAAGGAGGCATCTGCAGACTCGTTGACACGCAGCAGCTCTGGGCATGGACGGAACAAGTAACGAGACTCTGGATCTGACTGCAAGACGGACATTAACTTCAACTGCGTCAAAGTTGCAGAGCGCAAAGAGATGACACAAGGGACGTCAGCCACAGACATACCAGGCACGGTGGACCGCAAACTCAGGAGCTCTGAATCCAGGTACACTTCTCTTGCTTCCAAGTCTGCTTGCACCGGCCTCATGACTGCGATCGGCAGGTCTGTGGCATCAAAACGATGCTCACCTTCAGCCTGGAAACGCTTCATGCGATGCATGGACGGCAACAGTTTGAAGAAAATCATCTGCACATGCTGGCTCCCTGGCATCATCCGAGCTGACTGGAAGAAGACATCAACATCCGTGACAGAAGGTCTGCTATTACTTTCCACGAGACTGCCTGAAAACTCTTGCTCCTGCACTTTGGTCACAATGGGAAGATGGCTTTGGCTTGGCAGCACATGCTCGCGGAGCAAGGAAAAGGCGGCACGGTCATAAGGCAATGCAAAGACCAATGACCCGGTTCCCTCATTACCACTGTGCAGATTGTCCTGCAATCGGGCACTCAGGTGCTCGAGGCTGAGTTGGTGCAGCAGCTGCCCACCTCGAGTATCAGCCAACACCTCAGCGGGAAGAGCAGCTCGGGGCGGACGGGTGTTGTTGTCTCTAACAAAAACATCTGGCATTGGCTGATGAAGACTGGCGGTGTCTGCACGGTAGATTGCATCACGAATGACACGGTCGCGGGAATTCCCGGACCCGTTGACAATGGCTGGGTGCCTGTTCAGATTCACGGCCTGGGCAGCCTTCCTGTATGAGCGGCATTGAAACACGCAAGGGGCTAGCTTGGACACAAACTCCTTCGGATTGCGACACATCTGCTCGCTGATCTCCCTGCCCCGAAGCTGCAAGGACATGTATGCCGGGCTATGGTGCGGACTCTTCTTGGAGCCTTTCTGGGTCCGAGCATGTTGAGACTCGACCCTGCGCTCTGCAATCGGAATGAGAGCAAGGCAGGAAACCGCCTCGGCAAAGTCCGGACAGGCATCCAAGTCAGCACCACAGTACCAATGGTCGCCCTGTTGCAAAACCTCTGGTATCACCAACTGCGGCAACTGTCTGCGAAGCGAGGTTGCCTCAACTGAATCTGTGTCCAGCCTTGCACGAAAAGCACTCCACACCTCACGAGCCTGTTCCTCATCGTGATACGCCAACCCTGCTGCAGACCAGGGCAGGCTACGAAAGTGTGCTGTCTTCAACATCAACACCATGGTAAGATAAGCCCGGCCATGCTCAAACTCTCTAATGATGGTCGCTTGCTGGGACTCCTCAAGCTCAACAGGGAATTGTCGCAGAAAGTCCGAACCTGCATAAGAGGAGAAGGACGTCAGCTCCTTCAGGAAGTCTCCCTGGGCAAGTTCGGGGGCTCGCCTGGTGCGCATGGGGCATTGCTCCAAGAGATGCCTGTCTGCTTTGCTGAGCAACTGCGCTGAAGCACCCGTCAATAGATGCCAATGGCAGGGACAGCTCTCTACCCAGTGAATGAGATGCAAGACGATCGATGAAAACACTTTCAACATGACCAAAAAGCTCTCAAACCATGGGCATTGCACCAACTTGTCGACTGCCTCAATATTCACACCTCGCGATTGAACAGATGAACCTGCCAGGTATGCCTCCTTGCTCCATCCTAGACGAAGTGCCGGGAGAACATGGTGCAGCTCGATGGCGCACCGAGCCCCTGTGCCCCAGCGTTCTCGATAGCACTCGGCATTGAAAGCCTCAATCTTGCTTCGAACTTCAGACTGACCTGCAGGGCCGCTGGAAAAACATTTTGCGATGAGTCGCTCCTTGCAATCCCGACTGCGGAGAAAACTTGACAAAGCCCCCATGTCCGACACAATTTGATCATAGTGTTCCATGCAAGACTGCAAGACCCTAAATCGTTGGCAGCATTGTGGATTATGTGCAGCAGTCCTGCAACACCACGGCATGATTGCAGGCCTACTTCAAGGTCTGCAGGCTCCGACTCCCCTTGCTCTTCATCAAAGCAGTTTTCCGCCTGCTGCCGGAAAGGCTCCTGGTCCAGAGACTCGTCTGCTTGCACTCGAAAAGCTTGGTCCTGCAGCATCAACCCGCAGAAAAGATTTTATCGCTGCAAAGGAAAAACCAGTTATGCTTCGGGCGATCATCCGACAACTAGGTCCGCTTAGGCTTCGGAATTTCATGACTGACACAATCTGTTAAGAATCCCATAAAAGCTCGGCTCTGAATGAACAGCTCACGCTAGCCTCAGAATGAACCTGGCAGGTGAAAGCAACACAACAAAATCAAATGGAGCAAAACTGTCCTCAGCAACAGAAGCTGCTGTGGGAGCAGGGCCGAAATATGGCAACACAGCTGACAATGCTATCGGCTCCAACTTCGTAAGCAAGCTCTCCACGCCCAAGTCTGTCGTGATGCTAAGAAGAGATGACAGCACTTTCTGCAAGGTCTTGAAATCACCACTGATGAGTAGCAATGACTGCAAGAATGCGGACAAGCGATGAGCAGCATTTCCGGCTCGCCCGCCCAATGTTGTGGGGGGCGGAATCATTTGAACAATCTTCCGACGCAACATAGGCATGACCCATTTGTCACCTGGAAGAACGTGATCCCGCCTCGGCGGGCAAATTTTCAGAGCAGGTGTTGCAAACCTCTACAAACACGACCCTTTGACACAAAACCCCGTCTACCTCTCTGTAATCTCAGGTAACCTATGGATCTGAACATGATTGCCGAAGATGCTTCTGGCTTAACTGACAGGGAACCGTCGCCAAGCATCAACCTGTCGCATGATGTCTCGAGCATCAGCTGCCGCGACGATGTCGAGCACTGTGATCTCGTAGTCACGCCCGCCCTGCGGGGAAGAATCTGTCATGGCGAAGATGCAGCAGCCCTGTAGCAGCTTGTTTGTCAACCAGTCTTGTTGCAACCTGGCAAAGCCAATGTCCAGAGCTGCTCGTCTCTGCGACATTATCGAGGCCGAAGGCAGATATTTCTGAGGATCGGCCGATATCCTGTCAATCCACGCCATGGCAAGCTGCTGTGGAAGCAGCAGGCATGCAGCCATTTTCAACGCCTCGCCAACATTCGAATCATTGCTCAAGAACATCGCGAAAAGCATTGTTTCCACAAGGTGGCCGATGCGAAAAGCAAGGCTCGGCTCTCCAGCAACATATGCATGCCGCCTCGCACTCAACAGCAAGCTTTCACAATGCTGGAACCGAAGGCCAGCGACAAAGTCCTGCCACGTCGACGGATCCACGGAGTCCCCTCGACCGTTTCCCAAACTCACTAAACAGTCAGCCAAGTCCCAGACTTTCTTGCTGTCATGCACGACATCCAGGCCCTGCTTAGATAAAGAAGCGCCGTGACCACGACCCTCACCAGGTTCAGATGCATCGGGCACGTCCTTTGGTCTCGGCCCAAACTTGCGGAGGGCTGCCCAAGCACGCTCATACTTACGACCGGCCCCAACCAGGCCAGATACAAATTTCCTGCCGCCGTCCGTGCCGTAAGGGTCGTAGTTCCACTTGCAAACCAAATCGGGCACTGCAACAGTAAACCACTGTTTTCGCATGAGCATGATCGCATAGGGCAGTAGCAATCGCAAAACTCGATGGCACCCACTGCACCCACTAACAAAACCAGGATGGTGCTGCGCCGGCAGCTCTCTCCGAAATTTTGCTTCCTGCCCATCTTCCAGAGTTGTAAAAAACGAGCCCCCTTTACGGCCAGAGATGGTATTCCACACGACCGGAGTTCTCAACTCCAGTGCTTCCACAACATCGAAGATCAAAGCACTGTTGTCCAGTGGACGACCGGCAAGCACCGTCCAGTGACTCAGCTGGAGACGAACCGCATCGCCCAAGCTGCCTGAAGTTTTATGCTGGTACCGCTCCCTGGGTCTTAAAGCAAGTGCACCAACGATATAGAATTCGTTGGATGGCAACCTGTTGTATGCGGCTCCTCTGCAAGCTTCTTCAAAAGCAGGCTTCAGCTCGTCTGTCAAACAAAGATCATCACATGCATGGTTCAGTCTGCTGCTTGCCCTGCGTGTCTTCTGAAGCAGTGACCTTGACCAAAGAGTTCCAAGCCAGACACAGCGAACATCTGCTGAAAACGACTCGCCCCCATCCATGATATTTCGCCAAAGCGAAACATGTCGCAAGACTCAGACCCTCAATAAAATAACGACTACGATTGAAAACAAGCGCCCTTCACACTTCACACATACAGGCCTAAAGCCTTCGGGCGGGCTGCGGCCCTGGGATCTACCTATATTATGAATCATGAACTCAGCATCTTACAGTGGAGTTGTCAAGGTACGGACTTCTCTGCACCGAAATTACAACAGGACTCCCCGACTCAACTGAAAAAAGCTGCAGTGCTTGTATGAGATTCGCAAAAAAAACCTGTCATGGAGGCAATACAGCATGCAAGCCCGAAGCTCAAGGCAAACCAAAATCTGCCAAAACAAGCGAGACCGTGAGGAGCAAATCCTCGTCGTAGCTGTCGTCGTCGTTGGCATCGAGTGACTAGAAGACGAGAATCTGATGACCACAGCAGCAGCAGAAGCGAAGAAGCACCAGCACCAGCAAGAGCAGCAGTCATAGTTGTCGAAGCAGCAGCAACAATTGCAATAGGAATAGTACTCGGAGTAGTAAAAGCCGCAGCAGTACTACCACAACTACTACCACGACTAGTACTACTGAGGGAGCGCCACCAACAGCAGAAGAGTCGCCGGCTGGCTATATTCAACATCAGAACTATTCCTGAAGTCCTGCTGTGGTAGTGATTCGCTGACACATGTTTAGTAGCGACTGAGCGGGTGTAGGTCTAGGTGCTGCTGAACTTTGAAAACGACCTCGTAGCGTGGACTCATGATTCTCGCTTGCCGCGCACAAGCCTGAAAGTGCTGTTGTTGGGATTATGACCACTGCCAACTGTCTTTTTCTGTCTGTCTCTCTCTCTCTCTCTCTCTCTCTAGAGCTCTCTCTCTCTCTCTCGGTCGTGTCTTCTTCTTTTTTCCTGCTCGAGGCTCACGCCAATAAGTATACGTCAATAAGATGGTGATGCTCGCCTGATGCTGACGATGCTCAAGACTACCGACCCACCCCCCGCCCCCCAGCCCCAGCCACGAAACGAGCCGGGAAGCCAATGAGCCCTTAGGCCGTCCAGCGAGTCAGCCGCGACCCTGCGACCAGGGCGACAAATAACCGGAAAAGGCAGCCGGCCCACCAGACAGTCATCCCTCAAAGGCCCCCGATCCGTGGACAGTCACCGTCATCACATCAGAACTCCAAACCCCGTAGCGGGGGCTCCTGGAGCGCAGTAACCGCTTCCCAATTTCGCACACGCGATCTTGTGACTGAAGCCCCTTCTCACACGTCTCATCAAGTTATCCATGGAGAAGCCTTGCCAGGCCTAACCCCAAAATCACAACTGCAAGCGTTAATTTACTAACGCGAGGTAAAGTGCAACAAACCCATACGCCTTTTTCAACCCTTCACAGGGATTCGCAGGGTCGAACGCACGAACGCGAGGTAAAGTGCAAAAACCTGCGGCGCAATATGCAACCCTTCACAGGGATTCGCAGGGTCGAACGCACGAACGCGAGTAAAGTGCAAAAACCTGCGGCGCAATATGCAACCCTTCACAGGGATTCGCGTGGTCGTGTGCGCGCACTTTGCAACCCTTCACAGGGATTGGCGGGGTCGATTGCAAAATTTGTAACCCTTCCCAGGGATTGTAAACTTGTAACCCTTCACTGACCCTTCACAGGGATTGGCGTGGTCGGACGCACGAACGCTAGGGAAAGTTGCATTTTTTGATGTGCCTCGAAGCGAAATTTGCAACCCTTCACAGGGATTGGCGTGGTCGGACGCACGAACGCTAGGTAAAGTTGCATTTTTTGATGTGCATCGAGGCGGAATTTGCAACCCTTCACAGGGATTGGCGTGGTCGGACGCACGAACGCTAGGTAAAGTTGCATTTTTTGATGTGCTTGGAGATGGAATTTGCAACCCTTCACAGGGATTGGCGTGGTCGGATGCGCGAACGCGAGGTAAAGTTGCATTTTTTGATGTGCATGGAGGTGAAATTTGCAACCCTTCACAGGGATTGGCGTGGTCGGATGCGCGAACGCGAGGTAAAGTTGCAACTTTGGAGGCGCATCGAGGCTTAACTTGCAACCCTTCACAGGGATTCGTGTGGTCGGATGCACGAACGCAAGGTAAAGTTGCAATTTTTGATGCGCATCGAGGTGGAATTTGCAACCCTTCACAGGGATTCGTGTGGTCGGATGCACGAACGCGAGGTAAAGTTGCAATATCTGATGCGCATCGAGGCTTAATTTGCAACCCTTCACAGGGATTCGTGTGGTCGGATGCACGAACGCGAGGTAAAGTTGCAATTTCTGATGCGCATCGAGGCTTAATTTCTCTCTCAGTTTCTCTCTCTCAGTCTCTCTCTGTCAGTCTCTTTCTCTCTCTCTCTCAGTCTCTCTCTCAGTCTCTCTCAGTCTCTCTCTCAGTCTCTCTCTCTGTCTCTCTCTCTGAGTTTCTTTCTCTCTCTCGCTCAGTCTCTCCCTCTCTCTCAGTCTCTCTCTTTCTCTCTCTCTCAGTCTCTCTCTCTCGCTCAGTCCCTTTCAGTCTCTCAGTCTCTCTCAGTCTCTCTCAGTCTTTCTCAGTCTCTCCCAGTCTCTCTCAGTCTCTCTCAGTCTCTCTCAGTCTCAGTCTCTCTCTTTCTCTTTTTTCTCTCTCTTTCTCTCTCTTTCTCTCTCTTTCTCTCTCAGTCTCTCTCTTTCTCTCTCTTTCTCTCTCTTTCTCTCTCTTTCTCTCTCTCTCTCTTTTTCTCTCTCTGTCTCTCTCTCTCTATCGCTTCTCTCTCTTGTCTCTCTCTTCCTCTCTCTTCTGCTCTTCCTCTCTCTCCTCTCTTCTCTATCTTTATCTCTCTCTTCTCTCTCTCTCTCGCTCTCTCTCTCTCTCTCTCGCTCTCTCTCTCTCTCTCGCTCTCTCGCTCTCTCGCTCTCTCTCTCTCTCTCTCTCTCGCTCTCTCTCGCTCTCGCGCTCTCGCTCTCGCTGTCGCTCTCTCTCTCTCTCTCTCTCTCTCGCTCTCGCGCTCTCGCTCTCGCTCTCGCTGTCGCTCTCTCTCTCTCTCTCTCTCTCTCTCTCTCTCTCTGCACAAGCCCGTGCATTTGACCACCAGCTGCGGCCCTGTCGCCCAAATGCAAGACCATGCTGCAAGTGACCAAGCAGCCAGCGTGCCACTGCTGATTATTATTAGTTTACAGTAGCAAGAGTAGTACGAGGCATATGACTCTATTTCCTCGACACTATGACTCTATTGTCTCTATGACTCCGTGACTCTATGCTGTGACTCTATACTGTTTGCACTGGACTAGACACTTTACCTCGCGTTCGTACGGTCGACCACGCTAATCCCTGTGAAGAGTTGCATTCCCGAATGATGAGGATGGTGCCACCCCGACTTTAAATGATAGAATAATACTACTATATAGAGTCAAGTACTAGTGCATAGAGTGAAGTACATCCAACTACGTGCATTTATCACAGACTGAAGGACATGGAAACAAGTGCACAAAGAGAGTCTAAGCATCTATGCACTACACGATATGACTCTATGTACTTGACTCTATGCACTGCCCTCTAAGACTTTATATACTCGACTCCGTGACTTTACATAGCTCCAACAATCATGGCTAATGATGCTTTCGGGCCAATTGTCTTCTAGTTAGAGGCTTCTTAACGGCTGAACTTCAAGCGGAGAGAAGCTCCGATTTGGAGCTTCCGGAAGCTCCGAATCGGAGCTTCTCTCCGCCGTTGAACACCTCAAAGCTGGAAGCTCCAAATCGGAGCTGGCAGCTCCGAATCGGAGCTTCGATTTGGAGCTTCCCGAATCGGAGCTTCTCGGAGTTTCAGGGCGGCACGCCGTGGGCCGCGAGGTAAGTAGCCCCGGCGACTCTAGCGGCATGTCCGCCGTATATGTTGGCCCGGTGACCATCCACTTCGTGCTCTGTCTGAATCCCCGCCGCTGACAGGAGCGCCGACTCTGGGTGCCTCGGCCCCTCAAAGTGGAGGCGGGCAAGGTGGCGTCGGGCTGCGCAGCAAGGGCAAAGGAGGTGCACAGCCGCCGAGCATACTCACTTGAGCGTGCGTCGGGTCAGCTCGTGCTCGCCGCCTTGTGCCGTCTTGTGCAGCGGCAGATCAATGGACACCTGGCCGCCGAAGATCTTGGACGAGAGAGTCAGGTCCTTGATACGGGTGCCGGCGATCTCCCCCTCTCTCAGCATAAACCACGCCGCGAAGATCACAATGTCCACGGCGTGCTCCGGTCGCCGGCAATCCATTGGGCCGTTTGGGGGCGCCAAAGCGCACCACCACGACGATGAACACCACGTCGAAGGCCTGCTTGAGCTTTTGGTCCCCGGCATGCCCCGCACCGCCGCCTTGACTAGTCCTTTGGCCTCTTTGCGCATGGACGCCGAGATCTCGAGGTGCAGGACGTGCTCCTGGTGCCAAAAGACGGCGTCGACATAGAGGCTCGCCGTGAGGACCTGCATTTTGCGGATGGTCAGCGGCCACGGCTCGAGCTCGTTCTGCGCCGCAAGCAGGGTCCAAGAGCGAACCCGCGACTCCAAAGGCCTGCGCGTCGAATGCGCCAAGATGTTGTTCTCGAGCTCCTGGATGGCGCCTTCGATGTTCTCGGGTCGCGCCGCAAGGAGTGCCGCCGCCATTGAGGATTTGGCCTGCAGCCGTCGGTAAGGGAGGTCCGAGGCTTGCTGGCCTCGGCGCCCAGATCTGCTCGAGGAGGTCCACCGAAACGCTGGCCGCTGCCAGGGCAGGCGCCGCCACGACGGCTGCCTCTCGGTCGGCGACCCCGGCCGCCGCGAAGGTCTGGAGGTGTGCCGTCCCGCTGGCGGCGATGATCTGCCAGAAATGCAGCGAAGGAGTTTGCCGCCGACGTCGGGGCGAGCATCTTGAGCCGGGTCGGGGGGGAAAGGCGGGCGCCGGGCGGCGAGAGCAAAAAGGCTGCGGCGACGACAGGAGGCAGGAGCAAGCGCGGAGAGACAAGCAACCTTTTACCGGAAAAAGTCCGTGCTGCGCCGCCGTTGTGGCG